GATGGGAAGATTAAATCAAATAATGCAATCTTACAGTATTAGCACATACTAAACATTCAATAAGTGTTAGTAAATAGTATTATTGCAGTTGAGTTATATTTCTGTGAAATCCTGGGCAACATTAAGAGTTTTTATACTAGAGCTGCAGCATTGAGAGGAATGGGTGCTTAGCTTGCAATGTATCTCCTGCATTTGGGGGCTAAGGTGCAGAAATAGCTATGGCCATGGGGGGGTATTAAAATAGTATGTGAAATAGACAAGATGATCTGTGTGGCTGCTTCCTGCTTCAAAACCTTGATTCTCATGGTAGTTTGGCAACAAACTGCAAAACTTCTCAGCCTTGCAGATGTAGAAGACACTTTCAGGTAGCTCAGCCTGGGTATCAGAGTGTCACTTTCGAATCCTCTTCCACCCCGTGGGTAGTCCCTTGGGTATTCAGGTGTCATAGTCGCTGCAGAAGGCACAGGCAGAGTGAGTACCCTACCCCACTGCTGTTAGTGGTTGGGGTGGGGACCCTGCCTTGAAAGATGCTAACACATGAGCTGATTTAGGAGGAGGGATTGTCCTGAGCAGTGACCTGTCACTTAATCCTACTCAGTTTTATCCCTGTTAATGGGAGGTGAGGTGGAGAAGCAGCTATAAACAGCCATTTGTTTATCTGTGGATATTGGAAGGTGCCGTGGGTGGATTATGGAATTAAAGGTTCTTGGTTTTTACTTACGAGGATGCTGAGTCCCAGACTGGGGAAGTGACTTGACCATGGTCAGAAAGCACGTCTGGGCAGATGCGGGGATAGAAACCCAATCCCTGACTCCCAGGCCACCACCCAGGCAGCAGGAGCTGGATACCTTGAAGTGTCTTGTTTGCACCTATGACTTTGCATAAATACAGTGACTCTTTGGCTGTGGGCCCACAAGCCCTAATGGCTACAGCACAATGGCGCAGGGCAGTGAGCTATGCTGAGACAGTCTCCAGAGTGACTGGAACCCTGTCTACCTATAGGGCATTTTCTCATGGAGGGGACAGGAGTACAAGATGACTTGCTAAACCCTTCTGCAACACCATTTGCTCCTCCCAACCTCAGTGTCCTCATCTGTAACCAGGAAGGGTAGTGGCTGGGAGTGCAGGCTCTGCGGTGAGGTGGCCTGGGCTGGAAACCCATCTATTTCTGAGAACTTGGCCAAACTCCACGTATCTCAGAGCCTCACTTTCCCCATCTGTAGAAGAGAGATAATGGTATCTACCTTTACAGGGTTGTTGTGAGGTTTGAATGAGATAACATAGGCAAGAGAAGCACCCAGCAAACTTGTCATTATAACCCACCGGCTCTGTCTCCCCAGGGCCTCCTACCGGTTAAGTACAGCCCGCCTGGGTTTGACACTTGCCCCATCACTTCCTTGATCTGTGGCCTTGGGCAAACCCCTGCATGCCTCTTGAGCCACAGTATCACCGTCTTAAACGAAGATGCCGACGGGACCTGGCTCCCATGCGCTTGCGGGGAGAGCTAAATGCCTATAAAGCGCTCCGGGAGCACAGCTCCAGGCACACCCGAGGGCCCTGGCCTGTCGCGTTCACCGCTGCTGATTTCGCCTGGCACCGACCGGGCTCCCAAAATATCCCAGGAGCCAGCGAGAGAAGGAGCCGGCCGGCCGAGAGCCTGGCTGTCATTATCATGTTTCCCACCCCTTCCTCCCCGAGTGGCTGAGGACGCGCGCGAGGGGGCGCGCCCGAGTCGGGATTCGTCGCAGCCGCACAGCCCGCCCTCTCTCCC